CTGGAAGTGGTGGCATCTGAGCAGACCTGCAGGGTTGGCTGAGGACATAGAAAGACTCAAGGGTCACAGTGGGAACAAAGAGCTGTAGCAGCAAAGGTCTCGAGACTGGGGCTCCCTGGATTAATGGGGATCTGCTTGGCCAGCAGGTAACCAATACATACACGTGCATTGGGGTTCTCTAGAGACACAGAAGCAAGGATGGCACACGTGCAGGGAGGTGGGCATGTGTGTGACTGTGGACGTGCATCGGTCATGTGTGTGTGTACATAGATGGGGAGATTGTGATACAGGATCAGACTCATGGATGCCGACGACGCCCGCCGTCTGCCCTCTGTCAGCTGAGACCCAGGGAAAGTGGTGCTGATTCAACCCACATCTGAAGCCTGAGAAGTGGGTGACTGTGGTTTAAGGCCCAAGCTGGGTCTGAAAGTCAGAGAAGCAGGAGCCAGATCCCCAAAGCAGGAGGCAGCCGGCCCGGTGCTGGCCAAGTGCAAATTCCTTCTCCACATTTTTGTCCCTCTCAGAGGCCCTCACAGACGGGTGAGTTGTCCACACTGGTGAGGGTGACCTTTACTCAGCCCTGGTCCCCTGCTGCAGAAACACCGTCACGGTCACACTCAGAAACAACGTCTCAGCAGCTCCCGAGTCCCTCCCACATCAAGTGGACAGAAAGTCGCCACCACGAGACTCCTGTCAGCTGGACACCGAGGCCTCTTCTACACCACCCCTCATCTTCCACTAGAGACATGGAGGCCACGACTCTGCCTGGCACCATCCAGGACCCTCCCCACAGGAACACAACCGGCACTGGCCAGCTCGTGGGTCCTCCCTTCTCGCTCCTTCCGGCTGCGGCTTGAGCACCTTTCCCCAGAAGACCGGGGTTCAGAGAGGGCTGAGTGGCTTCCACCCTTCAGCCACACAGCCTGAAGGAGCCGGCTGGTGCTGCACCTCAGGTCTATTGGGAAAAAGACAAAACCAGGCAGGTGGGACTCAGCCGCCCGAAGCATGGGCTTTGCCTCAGAGTGGACGCTCCCTCTTCCGGAGCCAGAAAGCCCAGCCTTCCGGCAGGTCTGTTTTGTATTACACATTCCAGCCCCTCCAATCTTTCGATAACAAGTTTCCTTCAGGGAGAAGCCGTGTGCATTGTTTGAAAACGCTAATCCCCCACCATCCAGGAGATGATGGAGGGGTCCTGGCACGTACGTGGAGAGGGCAGTGTGTGCCTATATACGTGCCAGGGCAACCCCAGCCTGCGAACTCTGTCTCAGCGGGCGATGACAGCTGCCTGGTATTACAGAGCCGAGTGTTCCTGCCGCCGCTAACCCTGCCTGGCTTCGCTCTGAGCAAGGAGGACCGAAAACAAACACATATTTGTTGAATTTTTGTTTCACTCTGTTTAGATTCCAGTTGTCGAGATAGCATCATTTCTTTCATGTCATGCATTTTTAAAAAACATACTTGAATCTTTACCTTATGCTTTCACCAGCTATGGAAGAAATCTTGACATATTTTGAAAGGAGAGAAGCAAGGTAGGAGGGAGGTGGCGGGAGGAACGTGCAGTTATCGGCCGTTAAGAACGCGCACAAACAAAGCAAGCCGGAGGCCAACGGGCCTCTGACGGGGGAGTGAAGTGGGACGAATGTCGAGCACGTGGCGCCAGCTGGCTGTCCAGCCGAGTGTTTATGCAACAGGGACGCGCAGAGGCCGTCTTCCCGGGGGAGTGACCGTAGGAGTTTCGGGGGCCCCAGGGGACATGGGGTGAACACTACGAAGATCAAGATGGCCTTCCAAAGTCAGCCTGTGCTTTTCCAGAGAGGGCCATGCTCCCCACTTGCCTGAGGCCAACTCTGGCCACTTGGGGGCTTGCTGGCCCCCAAGGCCAGTGACAAGGAATGCCCCGGGGAAACTGTTCTTTGAGCAATTATGGGCAAGTCTGTTAACACCTATGGGTGCACCTTTTTGTCGTTTACAGTGAAACAGTCTCCGCGGGTGGAGTTTGCAGGGTTTAATCAGAGGACTCAGGAGGTCAGCTTAGCGCCTGGTCAGTCCCCCAGAACTGTTGCTGCGACTTCCTATTCTCCGTCCTGGCAAGGCACGCCTCACAGCACTGCCCCCACCCCGCTCCGCCTGCCCAGCGAGCCTTAGCCTGTTTGTTCTGTCTTGGTGACACTGCCCGGTCCAGTGCCTCCGCCGGGCCCAGCCACGTGCCTTGTCTAAGGTGACCGCTGCTCGTAGAGCTAACTGCTGTGGATTCACGGTCACTCACTCTGGGCGCTGACCCTGGCGTGAACTACTCCTGGCCCTGGGAATAAAGTGGAGGAAAACGAGTCCAGGTCTTCATGTCCATGGAGAGGAGGCAGAAAATACCAACCAGCACATAGCTTGGACTGGGCCGCGCTGGCAGCGGAGAGGGGGCCCAGAGAGAGGCGGGGTGGGGGGGCCTCAAAGGCTGAAGGAGGCAAGGACGGTGGGGCAGGGTGGGGGAGGGAGGACAGACGCTGGCCACCGGAGGCTGCTGTCAGGAGTTTGCATCAGTTCTTAGACAGGTGCGCGCTTCCAGGAGGCTTCAACCAGGACCGGTGCCGGGCATGTGGAGAACAGGTGGCCGCGGGTTTAGGGACAAAGCAGAGAAACCAGAGGTGGGTACGCTGATCCCAAGCAAGAGGCGATGGAGTCTGGGCCCGGGGCAGGAAGTGTGGAGTCTGGAGATGTTTTGGAAGTCCAGCCAGAAGGGCTGGATGTGGGTGAGGGGGCCAGAGGCGCCAAGGGTCACGCCAGAGGTCAGCATCTGGGAAATATAACAGTGAGAATGAAGCTGCCATCTGTTGGGATGGAAAAGCTTTTGCTGAGAAGGGAGTGGAGAGATCAAGAGTTCAGCATGGGCCGTGTTAAGTGTGAGCTGACCAGTGGCTACAACTGATGAGCAGCCGTGAGCAGGGGAGTGAACGGACTGGCGTTGGGGGCAGGGCAGGAGCTGGCCGGACATGGCCCTTGGCACTCGGGTGGGAGTCAAGTCATGGCGCGGGGTGAGAGCCCGGGAAGCATCACAGAGGGACGAGGTCTCAGCACCCAGCCCCACGGCCCGCCACGCTTAGAAACGCGCCCAGTGAATTTACAGAGCAGAGCCTGCACCTCACTTGATCTAGACCAATCTCTGCCCCTCCTTCGTCCCACTGAGAATGGAGGGTGGTGGAAAGAGAACTGGGTGCTGATTGAAAAGATCCCCGGTGGCGCAGCAGGCTAAAGCGCATCGCTGTGAAGCTGCCACAGCTGCTTCAGCGTAAGTCTGATCCCCGGCCAGGGAGGGACCCACAGGGCGCAGCAGACCTCTCCTGTCTCCCCACGGCCCCCCTCAGCAGCATGCCTTATCGATCTGCCTGTTCTGCTCCCCACTCTGTCTCTGGGGAGTCCTCTCACCGCCCCTGCACCTCTGGCCTGTACCCCAGTTCTGTATGCATAAATAAATCTTTTTTAAAAAAAAACAAAACTGCTGGCACTCACTGTGGGACCTCAAGAACAGCATTTCGCCTCCCTCAAATGCCTCCAAAAACTGGAAGGTTAATATTCCATCAGAGTCACAGGGTGACTGTACCACCCACACAAAGAACAGAAGAACTTGGCGGGAACCGCGCCCAGAAAGTCAGGCGTTATCCTGGTGGGGCGCGTCATTGACATTCATTCGCTCATTCACTCGACAAACATTTCTGAGAGTGCGCCCGAGCCCAGAGCTGGCCGTAGAGTGGACACAGCCTGATTTCATGGAGCTTATTGTCTAGCAAAAGGGCCAGTGTCTAAGTCACCTTTTACTGAGTCTGCCTTCTTTTGGAATTCTGGTATTTTTAGCTTTCCAATGTCTGTATTTGTGTGTAAGAGCTGAGATCACTTCAGATTTTCATTTGTAAGCCCCATTTCATGCACAGGGCCCAGAGCCATTGCTATATAGATAGATATATCTTTTTAAAGATTTATTTATTTATGCTTACAGAACTGGGGTGCAGGAGCGGTGAGAGGATTCACCAGAGACAGAGTGGGGCGCAGAACAGGCCAACTGACAAAGTCCACTGCCGAGGGGAGCAGCGGCAGGCCAGGAGAGGTCTGCCATGTCATGTGGGCCACCTCCGGGGTGGGGATCAAACATGTGCTGAAGTGGCCGCAGGGAGCTTTACTGCTGTGCTCTGACCTGTTGCGCCACCAGGAAGAACCCTCTCTGTTTCTTCGCGTTGATGTTCCAACGTAAGCTCCTCATCGACCTGTCGGCTTCTGACAGCTGCGTCCTCTTCTGGTAGAAACAAAGCAAGAAAGGTCAAAGAGGGTTACGCTGTAACCCTGGGGTGCTGGGGCATCCGGTGCATGTCTGAGCCTTATCCCTGCTCACACGCCTTATCCCTACACTTTCTGGGAAGCAGAATCTCCCGCCCTGCCAGGTTTTTAAGAGAATTTTAGAAATAATTACTCTGTTGATCTCTTGAAAGTTGAGAGAGATGCCATTGCCATTTTGAACATTTCAGGGACTCTTCTTCTTCTCTCTTCTCTCTTCCCTAGAGGACAAGGAACACTGAGAAACAGCCAAGACACAAGGGGCTTCAAACCCAGTCTGGCAGGTCCCCGCTGGGCGAGCGTGACTGTCCGTGCCCCCAGCTGCTCCTTGGCAAACAGGGACTATCTAGTCTTCGTCCGTGACAATGAAAAGGTTCCATGCCTAGGAAGGTGTAGACAGTCAGCTGTCTGCACATGGCGGCCCGCATTGGGATGGAGCTGGGTCCTGGGGACCCCTGGGGGACACCATAGGGTGTAGACAGTCAGCTGTCTGCACATGGCGGCCCACATTGGGATGGAGCTGGGTCCTGGGGACCCCTGGGGGACACCATAGGGACGTCTCCCAGCCAGCTCTCTGGGAGCAGTCACATTTCAGAGCCTTGGGTGCTGGGAGCCTCTGGCTGATGCTTGGTCCTGACAGGCGGGCATGAGGGCTGCCGAGGGCAGGACTCGGGGCGGTGCCGATGGATTGCAGTGCCACAGAGAAGCAGCGGGCTCAGCGGCCTTCGGGAAGTGACACGACAGCTGTGCTAGAGGAGGCCAGGAGGGAGCGCCGAGGAGGGAGTGTCTGTGGAATCCTGGTATGTGGCCGCTTCTTGTCCTCAAATAACCTCTTTCGAGTAACTCACCAGTGATAAGCAAAAGCAACGCCGACCTCAATTTAATCTAAACCCGCGGAGTAAATTAGCACCATGGGAGCGCCCCTGTGTATCCGAGAACCCGGCTTGCAGCTCCCACAGTGCCCTCTGTTGGACAGCTCACCCACAAGTCCTCATCCTGTTCAACTCCAAACAGGAGCAAACAAACCTTTCCCGGGGCACCTCCCCCCTTCCCGGGCATTATTTTCATTTTATCTTCGGGGTTACTCTAGAAGGTTGGGGAAACTGAGGCACAGAGAAACTGTCAGGCCCAAGATCACCCACGATACTCATGTCCCTCCACATGACAAGGGTGACTTGAGCCAAGGAGAGTCAGATGTCCCTCACAATGGGCACAGCACCCCTAGTCACAGACCTGCTCCTCAGGGACTTAGGATACAATCTGAAGGATGGAGATCCACACCGGAGATGCGGATACTTATCCAAAGCCTTCACGCCCTACCAGGCAGGACCCTGTGTGGCAAGGTCGCCGGCCGCAGGGCCTTCCTGGGCGGAGATCGGGGTCCTATTCTCAGCTCTGCCTTGAACTCACACGTGATCTCTGTCAAATGCTACCCCCTTTCAGTCTCTTGACCCACAAAGAGAGGGTGAATTCAACAGGCCTTAGCCCAACTTAAAAATCTAGTGCTAGGGGCTTCCCTGGTGGCACAACAGGCTAAAGCACTGTGTTATGAAGCTCTCTACAGCCACTGCAGCGCGAGTTCAACTCCCCCGCCAGGGAGGGACCCACAGGGCGCAGCAGACCTCTCCCGACCCACCTGCTGCCCCCCTCAGCAGTGGATTTCAATGCATCTGCCCGTTCTGCTCCCCACTCTGTCTCTGGTGAATCCTCTCACCCACCACACCTATGGCCTGCACCCAGTTCTGTGAGCATAAATAAATCTTTAAAAAAAAATTGGTGCTAATTAGCACTGCCTTTCAGAACAATGTAGGTAGCTCCTACAAAATCTCACCTGTGGATACACACTGACTTCTTGAAATCTATACACGGGAGTCACAGCACATGCACACCGGATGTTCATTGCAACACAGAGTAAGTGTGACCTCACCGTGCCCCATCCTCAGGCTGCCCGAGTGACCTGTGAAACACCTGTACTGGGGAAGCAATGCAGCCTGGGAAAAAGAATGAGACAGGCCTGTAGGCAATAAAGCAGAAACTTCGTCGTTATATGTGAGTGAGCAAAATAAGCCACCTTGCAAAACAAGAGAAGGTATGTTGTACCTACCTGGCAGGGCAGATACAGGATCACGAAGGTGCTTTTCCCAGTGCGAGGCTCACCCATTGCACCCCGAATGTGCTGACCCCTGCAAAGCTTCCCCAAATGTGGGAAAGACAACTGCATAATTTGTGGTAGTGGAGGACTGTGTTCGTGCTCGCCCCTGAAAAAAAAAAAAAAGGAAAGGTGTGTCTGGCGCACGTCCATTGCCCCATCTGTAGGTAGAAACAAAAGACCTAGGACGTGGGGGAAAGGGGAGACCTGTCTTTTCCCCTACAAAATGCTTTACTTTTCTTTAAAAAAAAAATTTTTTTTTAAATGTTCATCTGTAGAAGGCTAAAGCTGGTGAGTGTAAATGGACCTCACCTAACCTACTCTCGCTGAGGAGAGAGTCACACACTCAGCTCTGTGTGTCCAGAGCACTGGGCTTCGGGGCACCCAGCCTGGAGAGTGGACTGTCTAGCTGGCTGGGAAACTGAGGCCACTGACTCTGGTTGGCATGACTCTCTGTGACCCATGTGATCAACTCTTTGAGCTCCCACAAAACGATGCATTCCCCCACCTTCAGGATGTTGATCACGGAGGACATTTGTCACTGTGAGTTGTGACGATGGGTTCAAGCACAAGGCCACGAAAAGCGCCTGCTGAATCGGTCAGGCTTGTATTTTGTGAGTCTGGTGTTTTTCAAAGTCTTTTTCTGTCATTCATTTTTATTTTATTTTACGAAAACACCCATCTTCAAAAAATGGAGTCTTTTCCAAATAAGCGCTCCCTCCACCCGATCTCTGAGAAGCACCGGGCTGCAGGAGAGGAGTGTGGAAACCTTGCAGGTTTTCCACCATGCTTGGGATGTGAATGAGCAAGGAGCCCAATGAATGACTGAATGAGCAGGAGGAAGAAACGTGCCCAGGATCCCGGCTTTTCACTCGGGGCCATGTAAGAGTACAGAGCAGAGGGCTTCAAGTCCATGGCCAGGCGAGGGGAGCATCACTTAACATGCTCTCTCCTGATTTTGTTTTTTTTCAAAATTTATTTATTTATGCATACAGAACTGGGGTACAAGCCAGAGGTGCAGGGGTGATGAGAGGATTCACCAGAGACAGAGCGGGGAGCAGAGTAGGCAGATAGATGAAGTCTACTGCTGAGGGGAGCAGCGGGCGGGTCAGGAGAGGTCTGCAGCGCCTTGTGGGTCACCTCCCTGGCTGGGGATCGAACTCATGCTACAGTGGCAGCAGCCAGCTGCAGAGGGCTGTGTTTTAACCCGCTGTGCCACCACGGAGGGTCTGTAAGTGGAAGCTGTTGACCACATCTGCCTCAGGGGAGGAGACGCTCCCTGCTCAGAGGCCCTCAGCACACCTTGCTGGGTTTTGAAATTCCCCCCTGGCATTCCAGACAGAGAGATAGTCTTAAGTGTAAAGAAACCTGGAACTAGAAAAGCAACACCTGCTTTCTGTTCTTTCAGTTTCCCTGTAAAATTCTATGGCAGAAAAGAGACCCAGGATCGACGCAGGTGGTCACCCCAGGCTTCCTCCTTCCTCTCTGTGTCTTTCTCCGTCACCTTCTCACCCAGCTGTCCACACTGTCCGTACGCTGTGCTACAGCAAAGTTAGCCGCGGCGGTGACAGCCGGGGAGCAAGGGTCGGGCAGAGGGGGGAGGTGGGCTTTGACCTGACTTAGCAGGAGCCTCCAGAAACACGCGTCCCACCCACCCATGCCAGGGTGAAAACCCGAAGGGTGCTGAGAACAGGGCGAGAGGCTAAGGGACTTTCAACCTGGTGGCCCACTTCAGCGTCTCACTGTGGAGACGGGGCTCGGGAAGTGAGGTCCCTGTCACCCCCTCAGCCAGGAAGGGAACCCCAACCTCAGCTGCTCTCCCAAGCCCAGCGCAGTGCTTGGCTGCCCTGGTCTTGGGTCCCCCACACCCACACAATGTGGCATCTGCTCTGGCTGCTCTGTGGTGCTTCCAATCCTCTTTCCTCGTTGGTGTAATTTTACATGAACTTGGCACATCTTGACATTTTTGTACAAATGTGTTCAGTTCTTAAAAGTCTCCCAGAGGAGAAAAAGGTTTCTGTAAATGGCCGAGTTCTCCCCTCCTTCAGGTTGAACTGAAGAAGGCCAAGGCACCGGAGCTCCGCAGACAACCTGCTGGCCGCTTCCTTCTCAGCTTGGAAGCTCCTCTCCGTGGGGAACTGCTCTCTCTCCTCCTGCAAAAACCCCAGGAGGAATTCTGATCAGATGCTGGGGCTGCAGGGCGGATCCCGCAGGCGATCATGTTTCTAGAAGGCTCCTAGAAGGCAACACATCTTGCAACCTGACTCTTACCTGACTTCTTACCTTAGGAGTGTTGCAGGGAGGGGGTGGGGGAGAGACAAAGCGGGGCTTTCTGTGTCCCCACCAACCATGTATTTCATAAAGGAAGACGTATTTTTCAGTCAACAACTGGGATTCCCTGGACCCTACAACAAGTCACCGGAAGCAGGCGCTCTGGCCTCCAGCACTTGGGTTTAAGGACCAGCCCTGTCTCTTCTCCCTCTGCCTCTGGCAAGTGACTGAACCTCTCTCTGCCTCAGTTTCCTCCTCTGTAAAGGACAGGCTTTTGTGAAGGTGATGCAGTCGGGCTTGTAGGGAGGCTGAAGGGTTTTCCAGACCGTGAGGGCCAGACAACACCCCAGGCCAATCCACGAGCTGATGACCCGGAGATGACATGAGAGCGGAGCCATGGGCACCTTGGAACCACACCTGCACTTACTGCGATGCCCACCATGCCCGCTGCTGGCACCAGGCTGCCCACTGCCCCCCACTGCCTTACTCATTGGTGACCGCGGCCGCTTCCTCGTCACGCCCTCCGCAGGGACACTCAAGACACCTGTTATTCCTACACCTCTGACATGACACATCCCCAGTAATGTTTGTGGCCACTCAAGCGGCAAGTTCCAAGAGACTTTATCAGAGGCCAGGCCAGGCAGGCACCTTTTCAACAACGTCCGCGTCTTCGCCTCCTCTGCCTCTGTCCTCACTCACAGGCAACAGCTCCCAAAGTCCAGGGTGGGGCAGCGTCCACCAGGGATGGCGGCAGAGACTGGAGCAGCTCTGCGGAGGATAGCGGCCACCACCGGGAGTGGGGAGAGAGGCCTGGCACCGCTTCTCCCTCCGGGCCTGCCGAGGGACCAGATGTGACCCAACCGTCCCCCAGCGGTGGGAGAGAAGGTGCTGCTGCTTGAAGTCACCGGTCGGCTTGGTTGCCACAGCCAGGGACCAATGCCAGTGCGGACCCCCAGGCCTGTGTCCTGACAACAGCAGGCCTCACCACAGGTGCCCAGAGCTTCTCCTCCTCGCCTCTCTCGAAAGGCCAGTTTCAGACTCCCAGGAAAGCTGACAGCATTTCCCACATTCATGGAACCCCGCAGATGAGGGTTGAAATGGCAGGCCCCGGGCCCTCCCTGGTGGCGCAGCGGGTTGGGACGCAGCACTGCAAGTCAGTGGCAGCCGCCTCAGTGCGAGTTGGACCCCCACACCCGGAGGTGACCCACAGGGCGCGGCAGACCTCTCCTGACTCGCCCGCTGCTTCATCCCTCTGCCTGTTCTGCTCCCCACTCTGTCTCTGGTGAAGCCTCTCACTGCCCCTGCACCTCTGGCCTGTACCCCAGACGTGCATGGATAAATAAATACATCTTGAAAAAAATGGCAGGTGCCTGAGCCCCA